ACCATATGCAAAAGTCCTTTTGGACACTGCAGGCTGTATCAACCTGGACGGGTGTGGAAATAGTCACTGGCCACTGCGTAGTGCGTATAGGTGTATAAAAATACACTCTGTTTCTGAACAGAATATTTCTAAATCATATTAAACGGTTCGGTTCAGTGCCGCCTTGCAAGATATTATTCAATTTTAATGGTAAAAATCGAGGGGGATTTTTTCTGTCTACTCTTCGACGATGGCTCTGCTCAATGTTCCGCAACTATTCAGTTTTCCGTTTAGAGTAGTGCTTATAAATATTATAATATAAATTTATTTATTTGTAATATTATACTATTATTCAGTCATCTGATATTCTTGTGTAGTATAATATATATTCGCCAGATTAAGAGGGGTCCAGGGGGGCTATGGCCCCCGGGCCTTGATATTTAGAATTTGTTTAGGGACCTCAGATTTGTCCATTACTTTTTTCGTTATAGGTTAAGAGTTATAACACTGCATAAATCAGCTAAAAAAAAATCGATGATTATTTAACGAGGAAAATAGCTTGTAAATTATAATTTATAAATAAAGTGATGCATTATTCATAATTTATTGCTATGTACCTAATACCTATAAGGCTATATATATTTATTATAACAGGTACCTACAACCTACCTAATATTAAATAATATATTTAATAATACATTTTTTTTTCGTACAGGGGCTTCATTTAAAACTTTGGCACCTGGACCTCAAAATGTCTTAATCTGGGCTTGTATATACTAGGAAATTTTAGTTTTTATGTTGTTTCCATATTAGGTATTTAGGTATTTAGGTTTACTTTAATGTACAACCAGTGACGTAGCCATGGGAGGGGCTGAGGGGGCTGCAGCCACCCACCGAAATTATAAGAAAATTAAAAAAATATTTTAATGGTCTATGATAGTTTCTCAAAAAGCTAGGCTGACTGCAGGTAAAATATATCTAGGTACATAATATTATATACATATTCTGCATCTACACATTACACTCTTCTTCGCATTGGATACATCATATTATACATAATACCAGGGGCGTATTTATGGGGGTGGCTGGGTGGGCTGCAGCCCCCCCTGAAATTTCAAGAACATCCAAAAAATATGAATATCAATAAAACTTTATTTGTTGGGTAAAAAAGCTTGAAAATTTAATACAAGGCTCCTGCTTTATTGTTACAATAGCAGTTGAAAAATATTAAAAATCCTTAGTCATAGTTTTTTTTATAAGCATTTAAAGTTCGAATCTTGACAAAATACGGAAAAATCACAAAACTTAAAATTTTTCTGAATGTTTTCATTTTTTACACACCAAAAAAATTTGAAAATATTTTGCCTCTTTTTGAGCTATTTACGGACATTGACAGTTTTCATTTTTCTTAGTTTTTTTCTATAAATATCAATAAAAATATTTTTGTTGGGTAAAAATGCGTGAAAATTTAATTCAAGGCTCCTGATATATTGTAACAATATTAGTTGAAAAATATTAAAAATACATAGGCTCAATTTTTTCTTATAATCATTTAAAGTTCGAATTTTGACAAAATTTATCAAATTTAAAATGTAATAAATATTTTGTAATTAAAAATTTATAAAATGTTCAACTTTCATAGTTAAGGATTGAAAATTTAAAACAATGGTCTACGTAAATAGGTAAATATATAAATTACTTTATTCACAATAATATCATAGGCTGACTGACCGTTTTCGCTTAGAATCGTTTTTCTTATACAATGATATTATATCATTGAATTCAAATTTTACACCATCCATTACAGTACATACCGTACAGCAGAGCGACATCCACTTTACCACTTTTTTATTTTATTGTGTGACTATGTTGATCATTTTGTTCAGCCCCTCCCGAAATAAAATTCTGGATACGCGCCTGCGATAATACATTCTTAGATATTATAGGTGGTTGATCTTCAACGCAATTATAATAACTTAGAATACTATATATTATATAATACCGGCTAAGGCGTACGTTGTACGTATATTATACTTATACTGTATGTCTGTATATGTATATACTATATTAGTGTGTATAAAATATAAATGCATACGTCAAGGGACTATTGGAACTACTATTAAATGTGACGCATGAGAATTCGTCGAATTATGCCTACTTACACTGCGGCATTTGTAATTTCGACTAGATAATTCATATCACGTCGGAGTTGGTAAAATCATATTTTCATAAGAAGTTTTAAATAAGTACCTATTATATATTATCATTACACGGTCTACACGTGTAATGTGTTCCATGCCTTATTGTTTTAATGGCATTGCCATTAATGAATAATATCTAATCTGTAGTACTTAAGAGACCCGTTTACGGTGTACGGTACTACGGTGTCCCTACCTAAAAACGCTTCGTAGTCGAATGTTAATACATTCAACAATTATTGCGAGGTGTACTACGGATAATAATACTATAACATAATATTACAGTGCCTATATTATAACCTAGGTATAAGCGGGTTGAATATTATATCTATCACTATATTTTATTATAATATATCACATATGTTTAAATTGCCTGACGAATATAGGTATGATAAGTGATACCTATGAGTATTTTATACTTTTAAAATATGTTTTTTTTTTAGGTATTTACATTTTTATTATACTGTACTTATAATATTAAAAATAAAATTGATACCTACCTACTATACCTAGGTACAAGGTACCTTACCTATAATCGTAGTGTATTATATATTATCTATGTATATTTATTTTGCTTAGTGTATTGGCTTTAATCTTTATCGGCTTCAAATGAATACCTACCATATAATATGCCTACTTAGACAAAATATCAGTTGACAGTTTATATTGTTTATAATTATTTATTTGCACTCATTTATTTTAAAGATATTGTACATAGGCTATGATGCATGTGTCATATATTATAATTAATACTTGAAACAAATGTGGAATCAGGACTGAGTACACGTTTGAAGAAAAATCAATTAAAAATATTGTTAAATTGTATTGTATAATATATTTTGTTTAAAATAATAGGTACCTAATGATTTATAATATTGTATAATTTTTCATTCAATTTCTAATTTCTATACTAGATTTATAAACTTTCAGCTAGCAAAAAAAAGATTGAAGGGAGCAAGCGCAGCGAACAGAAAGCGGAGCCCCCTAGTATTAAATAGTATGATATATGATATAATATATGTTTAAATCACTTTTTGACCATTGGAAATAATTGTTTAAAATATTCACCGAATTTATAGGTCATGGTAACACAGATATTACGTACATTTATTCAGTTCATTTTAAAGTTTTAAATCGAAAACCACTTCAGTGTTCTATCATATATCACATTGTACTTTTATACAAGTATTATAGGTTCTGAATGCAATTATCGGTACCTAGACTGGAGCTTTCAGAGCATATTAATATATTATATAATTAAATATTATGATGATGTATACTGTACACTCTTAAATGCTTAATATATAATATTATGTAATAGATATTAGGTAAATATACATATTGGCTATGCAGTTTAGTACGTATTATTCGTGTTACATTAAACAATCATTGTAATTTGTAGCCTGTAATTATGTAGATTTTGTTTTTACAACTAACGTAGGTAATAGCCAATAGGTATTATTTAATAATTATATATGCCTATTATTTGTGTAATTATTACAAAACTATATTATACAGTGTGTCACCGTCTAGCCCCCCACCTCCTGTTGTAAGAGGATAAAGTATAAAGGTACCTATGTAACATGTTATATTGTTATTATACACATATATATATATAATATGTACAACTGTACAAGTACATGTACTATATGGAGGTACCTATTTAGTAGAAGGTTATGGCCGTTCCAGACCACTGCGGTGAGACAGTGACCTTTCGTTATTATTATTTTATTTCATACATATAAAACGAATGTAGAACGCGTGTATTAAAATAACATAAGTCTGTTGGAACACAATAAATAATAATATTATACTATAGGTTCACCGTACACGCACACGTACACAGCCTATATCGTCTCGCCGCAGCAGTCAACTAGACAAGCACAATCGTATGTTTTATCCATCACGAATCTGAATTTTCTATTTGATTATCATTCTTGCCGCAAATAATAATATTGGTATAACAGCATTGTTGTTATCTTTCACTTCGAGACCTTGACATAACTGTCGAATCGAGTGACATTGTCAAAAATTAGGTTTCATATTTATATTATAAAAAAATATCTAAATAAATAACGAACATAATATTACATGTTATTGAATACAATATTATACACCTACTGGTTACTATTATAAATATAATATATATTGTACAAAGTGGCGTTTATGCATTGGGTACAGACTGCTGACAGCGTTTTATATGTAATATGTAAATACTAAATAGGTATACCACTATAGTCTATAGGTACCCGCGGTTGGGGATCACATTTGTATAATTGTATCCAAATGGTACTATATAATAATATAGGTACTCTGCCAAAACAAAAATATCCTAAATCGTCAAAGCAGACATATACCTCGTATAATACCAAGTACCAACAATAATAAGAAATAAGTTCATCCCCAACCCCCTTTAACAAAACTGCCTACGCCACTGGGTCATATAGACATATTCACATATTATAGTACATTTTGGATGCCAAAAATAAAAAAGGTATCACAATTTATAACTATGGTAGTTTATGGGTAAGGAATGTATCATATCGTTCGAACCTATTAAACATTACACAGTGCAATCGTAACACTATTATTATAACAATATGCAGTGTGATGTTAGTTTTGAAATTCAGGAGAATAGAATTTCACTCTAAAGTCTAAAGACCTGTACGCGCGGTACGCCGACTAAGCTTTAAAACGTGTAGATGATTAATATTAATTATTGTAATGTAAAGTTTAATGATCAGTAAAAGGTATAAAAAAAATCATATGCCTAACAATTAACAGTAAAAATTTACAAGTCGACTGACCAAAGTTTATTGTTCCATGCCAAATATTATGTTGATGACACCCCAAACGGCAATCCAAGTGCCGTCCGCCACAATTAGTCCCAATGGAGCTGAAAACCCTGACCGAACTCAATGTAGCGATGCCGGTCACCCATGTGAAACTGCAGGAGACAGATGCTGTAATAACACACCAGGTGGTAACCACAAACATGGTCAAACCTATAAGAGCCGATCAATTTGGAAACGTACTAAAAAATTCTTCAGGATTATTGTGCTGCACGTATAGTTCCGAGCAATAATTGCTGTTGTGCCTTTGTAGATACTTCTATATAGTTAATATACCGTATAGGTACAATCTACAACAATAATTTTTTTAATTATCTCGATGCTCTATCGAAGATATATGATATGTATAAAATGTTTGAAAAATTGTACAAAATTTCGATGTAAAATGAAATGTTCGAGTAATAATTTGTATCACCTAGTACCTACATATTATTAAATTATTTATGTTAGAGGTATATTATTATGACGTATAAGTTACACAGTTAATATTCCTGTATATGTAAAAATATTTGAAATAATTATAGGTAGGTACCTACTGGCTACTACCTACTGTAAATTGTATTAATTTAGCACAAATATATATTTTCGTTATTGAATAATTCAATTGGTTTCTTTTTTATGTATTATTAGTAAAAGCCAAAACTCTATGTAAAATTAATTTACAGAGTATGAAATGTGAAAATATTGTGACTAGTAATTTCAGTTTTTTTGTAACTGCTTTAAAAACAATTTATATGAGTGACCTGAAATTGAATTTAAGATTTTTGACGAAAAACAAAAATTGTTATTTTATAGTCCATTTTATACATTTTTATTTAAATAATAATTTTCAAATTTTCATAATTTAGACGAATATCAACAACTTGTGAGGAATTTTGTATTACAATGTTGTGTTTTTTTACCATGTGAAAAGTTTTCATCAAAATTTATAGAAAACTAGAAAATTGAAAATTGAAAGTAGGTATCTATAAATATATCTCAAAAAGAGTAAAATATATTGAAAATTGTATCATGTATAGAAAATAGTTATTTAAAAATTTAGTGGAAAAGCATTAATATATTCGTTTTTGAGTTACACCAAAAAATTAAAAAACAAAATCGATTTTGTCGAAAACTTTTTGTGCACATGGCCCTAATTGTATTAAATCAGGCCCTGCCCAAAGTACCAACTAGAATCACTTGACTACCTACCCGAAAAATGCTGAAGCTGAAAATCAAAGCATTTGTACATCCCTAAATAGTGAAGACAAACACACAAAAAATTATAAAACCAATTGGTTCACCGCTCCGCTCGATATCAAGTCTATATTACACTGCAGAGTGCAGGATGAAGAATGTTATCTTACACAAGTCTGAAAACTCATTTGATGGCTTAGAAACAAATCGCATGTATCCAAATCATTAATTAATATTGAGTACGTAGGTGCTTAGTATTATAAATCTATTATGAGCCTTATCGTGCCTTACCTATTAATATTATGTGCAGATGTGCTACCTACAACATATTTGAAAAGAAATAATGTGAATCCTGTTATAATAGATAATGAAATAATATTATTTCTTCTGGTAGAAATTTTGTATACTGCAAGATAAAAAAAAAATAAACACCATTGTAAAACCACTAGATCCCTCAATTCGCTCAGAATTCAAAAATGGTGTGAAAAATGTATAGTAGTTCATCAATTGAGAACGACTGGTCCGATTTTGATGACATTTTTTGTGAGTGTTGGAGTGGTTCCCTGAATGGTTCAAATTCACAATTGGACCTGGTAGATCCAACCCGAGGAGGTGCTCAAACAGGAATTTTGAGATTTACGATGGAAATTTTTGTTTTTAAATGGTTGGCATTGGTTATTGGGCAGATCAGGTACAAGCATGCATAAAATAGAATTTTCTCACATTGCCTACAAAGGTTAGGTGAGGTTAGTGTCTGATAAATAAATAAACGTAATTTTTACGAAAAATATACGACTATACGTCTATAAAAAATATTTTAAATTATTTTTTTTGTTAGTTTCCTGTAAAAAAAGGCGTATACTGAATTATATTCATGTTTGCTCCCCATACATTGTCCCTTAATACGGCCCTGCGTATGACCAACGTTAAATAAACGTAATTTTTTCACCTGTATTATAACAATATCAGATGTATACCTATGTACATATTTAATATTATTATTAATTATTATGTGGATATAAATATATGTATATATATATATAGGCGTGATGCACGTCCGGTTTGCCCCACTCGTGGAGTCTGGAATCCGGATGATATTAGAGAGTTTTTGCACGACCATTTTTAAAAAAAAAAAAACAATAACGACGTCGACTATGGACCGGATGACGCTACTAAATAATATTATATTATAATAACATAGTTACATTTACTCGTTCCGCACGTGATAATAATATTGACTATAAATTGGCCACACTAATATATTATTCAATTATTGTCACCGCGATCGTATACCTATTGCCGGATACCTGTATTCGTTTTTATAACACTATACTTATTATGGAATACCTGAAACGTATTTAGAGTTTTGACGCCCTGATATTGAAGTTTTGACGCTACTCCTAATCAGTAATCTCTATCACCCCCTTAGAATAATAAATCACCGGCAATTGTTTGGATACAAAAAATAAATCGTAATAATAGGCCATTAATCATTATTGTTAGCCTCATTGAAGAACACATTTTCTTTGTCTTGTAATACACTCGTTATCCTGCAATATAAATTTAAGGGTACTATGAAAATATTATGTAAATTCCTAAAAAAATTCCCCGCACCCGGGGCGACGGTACCACCACCCCATACGTACTCTTCGTCGTCACCAGGCGCTGCAGTCGCCGTTACTCGTCGGTCGGTCATACTTTCACAGTTTCGCCAGTAATAGTCCATTATTAAGCACTGTCCAGTATCCAAGGGGGTTATCTGCAAGGCGTCCAGACACCGCTGGCTACTACTTAAATTGATAACCGCGGTTACATGCTTACGTCGTGTGTGGACGACTACATCACCGAACAAGCCACATACCTATTAATTTTGACTGTGGTCTGTAAATTGTTATTTGTATCTAAATGGAACGGAATGTTATGTTGAGTGAAAGTCATCCCCCTCCCCCAATCGAAGCCCAACATCCGCGGTCGACCTTACACTGTCGTAATACCGTATCCACAACTGTTACCTATATAACTATTAACTTATATTATATGCTGGTATAAAATATTATACTCGATTAATGCGACAGCGGCGTAATAAACATATATTATATAATATATTATTATACTATATACCTAATAATACGACGTGTCAGGCCGAAACAGTGACACCTGTACGCCGTCACAGCAGTAACTCGGCGGGCGTCGCGATCGTTCTAATTTGCAATAACGAGCAAACGACTCTGAAATTAGTACAATTATAGTCAATTGGCACCTCCAGTCTCCACGTATACATAAATATGTTTATAATACTATGTATTCACATTTGAACAGTGAACACCGTCTTGTAATAAAGTATCGCGCGGAACTGCGGAAGTCCTATATATCGGAATATCGGATTAAAAAATTGCCGCCTACGACATCATTCGATTTTAAAGGTGAAAATCGCGAGGGAATTTTTTTCCGTCCACTCCTCGACGGTGGCGCTGCCCAGTGTCGGCGGCGGCGTCACGCGCTACGACAACACAACAATAATAATAACTATATCACAATATATTTTATACGCATTCATTATTATTATCATAGAACTTATTGAACTTATTTTGGCTTATTGAAGTAGTTGATATTATAGTGGCAAGGAGCGCGTACAATGGCCAATAGTTGAGTCTTGAACAATACAGTGATTACTGATTACGACGGCGACCTGCGAGCGAGTTGAGCTGTGTTGTTCCGATAGCGTTCCGAAGGACCGTGTCTTTTGTACGTCCTCTCTCCGCCGCCGCCGCCCAGAGTCCGGCCAGTCGTGCCGTACAGGTAGGCACTGACGTCGTGGCCCACCCGTTGCAGCGATATTAAATCGTCGAACTCGATAGACCGAGAGTGGTCTGAGAGTGGATTTTTCAACGGCTCCGGTCGGAACGTCGTCGTCGTCATATTCGTCAGTGTCGCGCGTCTGGTTTTTAATTGATAATAATAATATTATTATTGTTACAACACTAACTCTGTGCACGACGCCCTCTCCGCCATCGCCGCAGGAACACCTTCGCGTGTGTCACGTACGGTCAACAATTATAATTCAACGACTGCGATGCGATGTGTCGGTAGCCGCTTATGGGAAGTTGGCAGTGGATGAAGGATTTTTGTTTATTCGTTTCCTCTCCCGAATAGTCCATCTCTGCAGGTGCAACCGCGTCATCGGTACACTCTCAAAGACAATAATATGTGGAAAGTACGAGAACTCGCCGACAAAGTGTGAGTATTGAACGCAGACGATAACCTCCCACGATCGGTCCCGTCCACTGACGGGCTACCTCTGTTATTAGTGATTATTAAATATTAACGTGTGCGTCGTGTATTTATAGGACCAACGTAGTCCTCAACTATACAGAAATTGAAGCTAAAGTCAGAGAAGCCACCAACGATGAAGCTTGGGGTCCAACAGGTAAAATACCTCTTCATTATACATGTTGTTGCTGCGTGCATTTGTTGAGAATTTTCATGTCATTCATTATTCTATAGAATCTAAAATTGATAAACATAAATGAATCATTTCATTCACTTGACTCGGTTAAGAGTTTGGATCAATTTGTGTGGCTAGTAAATAAGGTTTTGTTCTACAGTAAATACAATTTTACTTTTCTGTCATTTTTTTTAAATTGCTTATTCTATATACTATATGATTAGTTTCTCAGTTTAAATCTTATGTTTAAGCTGGATTTAATTTTAAAATCACCTAATAATCAATACTATGATTTTCGTTAGGTTAGGTTTGGCTGTGTATATGGTATATTAATCTTATTTCTGTATTTTCAATTTATAGGTAACCTAATGCAAGAAGTAGCACAAGCAACATTTATGTTTGAGCATTTCCCTGAAGTTATGGGAATGTTATGGAAACGAATGTTACATGAAAACAAGAAAAACTGGCGAAGGACTTATAAAGTGAGTGTTATTAAAATATAATAAATATTTATGGATGTACCAATCAAAATAAATTAAATAGCCAAGTACCCAAAACATTTATATTATATTTTTACATATTTTTTCATTTATCATATTATTGAACTTAGTGATTTTTATTGCAATGAAATTAATGAATGTTGGTCAATTTTTAATTAGTTATAACATAATCACATTATTTAACCTCTTTCTTAAATTAATTATCAGGAAAAACCCATTATTAAATTAATTATCCATATTCAATATAATTATCTATGATTGTTTTTATATAATTGTACATATGTACAAAGTATAGTTAAAACCATGTATAACATTGGTCTTATAATAACTGTAAAACAATCTAAATTTTTATCATGTTCATATATAATTTCAGTTATTTAGTATTTATAAAAATAATGTATTATTTATTTATAACATATAATAATTTATAATTAATTAAAATATCCATAACAATTTTTTTGCAGAGCCTATTATTACTAAATTATTTAGTTAAAAACGGATCTGAAAGAGTGGTTACATCAGCACGTGAACATATTTACGATTTAAGAGGATTAGAAAACTATTCTTTTGTTGATGAATTTGGTAAAGACCAAGGAATCAATATAAGGTATAATTGTTGTCGTGCAATTTAAATCACATAAACAAAATAAGATTTAAATATGTTGCAATTTATTATTTATAGGCATAAAGTGAGGGAATTGATTGATTTTGTACAAGATGATGATAAGTTGCGAGAAGAAAGGAAAAAAGCAAAAAAAAACAAAGACAAATATATTGGACTATCCAGTGAAGCTATGGGCTACAAAGGAGCAGGTAATGTGATATTTAATCAGTTGTTAACTAATTTTAACGGTGATTATTTTATTAATTAGGAGCTGAGAAGTGGGATGATGCACCTAGATGGAAAAAGGACAGTAATGAATTTAGTGACAAGAAAAGTAGTACACTAGGTTTTGAAGAATCACCTAATAACAGGTAAACATATATCTACATAAAGGTAGATTAGGTATATATACTTAATTTGTTTTAAAAAGGAACCTCGGCGCAACCATTTTTTTTTTCGGGTGATGGTCAAGCTGTCTGCCCTGCAACCTAGACAATTACAATGTTGTACAGCCAAGCCCCTGTGTAAAAGACTTGAGGTTCCTTACTAACCTGAATAGTGTAACATATCTAAATAACTTCTTAAAATATAATATTTTGGTGACTGATTAGTTTTTATTTAAAAATAATTCATCAACTTATTCTTATTTGTGTGCTGTTTTTCTAGTGATGAAAACGATATAGTGGATTCAGAACCAGAACTTGAAATTCCACGTAAACCTTCTGCAGAAGCATATAAAGATCGTAGTATGTCACCTTCTAAAATTCAAAGTCCTGCCAAACATAGAACACCTATTAAACGCATTGATTTGGGTGCAGCAGCACATTATGGCAAGACACAAACTGTGATCAACTCTCCAGTACCTACCAATAATCCTTTAGATACAGAGACCAGCTCTGTTGATTTGTTAAATATTGTAGGCAACAGCAATAATCAATCAAATGATTTTGGAGATTTTAATGCAGTTTTTAGTGCTGCTCCTAATAATGACACTGTAGTAGAAAATAAAAGGTAATTTTATATTTATAATTTATAAACTGGGCTTGGAAATAGTATCACTTATGAAGCGAAAACGCGGTAAACATATTGTTCTAAAAAAATTGTCATTTGTATTATATCCTTCTTAAATTATTCTTAGATAACTAAAAAATTTTTGCAAATACATACTACTTAGTATTTTAAGTGGACATTACACGGACATTTGTTCTCTCCATCTTACAGCAAATCGTATGCTCAGCAGATTATGTTTAGCCCCGTTAGTTTAAAAATTAGAGTGAATTGACCTCTTAAAAAATGTAAAGCTAAGATTATTATTGAAGGCATTTCATAGGCTTTTTATTATATTTTAATTTTAAAGGGAGTTATGAGTATTTTAAGATGTACAAACAATTTACAAATTTAAAATACTCTCAACATTTTAAAATTAGAATATTATAATAAAAAGCTTTTGTGATGCCCTAGATCAGTGGTTTTCAAACTGCGTGCAGCGGTCTTCTGAAAAATTTTAACAATTCGTCCAAGAATAAAATTATAAAAATATACTTATCTAATAAAAATTTTTTATCCCATCAAGCACACAATTCTAATTAAACGTATATAATTATAATTCAAAACATTTTTGTTCATCTAATTATTTAGTTAAAAAAAAAAAGGTCAATGTGCCGTGTAAATTATTGAAGTAAAAGTTAATAAAAGTTTAAAAACTACTTTCCTGGATAATAATCTTACCTTTAAATTTTATAAAAGGTAAATCTCTCTAATTTTTAAAGTAACAGTACTAAACGTGATCTGCTGAGAATACAATTTGTTATGTTTTGCACTTGTTAGATGGAGACAATAAATGCCTGTGCAACATCCTATTAAGCATTCTGATTCTGTTTTATTACATTCAATTTTTTTCCTTGTTTCAGTACCAATAATGATGAATTTGCTGATTTTAGTTCAGCATTTACTCAGACTATGTCTTTAAACAGCAGTTCAACTAATTTATGTAAGTTTTTTTTTCCTATTGTATAATATCGGTTGAATAAAATAAAACATTTATGTTGTTTTAGCTAACCAAAAAATTATTTCTAATTCTGATCTCCTAACATCGTTACCACAGTCATCTACAAATGGAACAAGCCGTAATTTGTTAGATTTGAACTTTGACACTTTAGATAACACAGGTAATATGTCTATCATCTATTATCGTTAACAGAAGTATTAGCTGTTTCAACTAATGAATTATATTAGAACAGTTGAATTACATTTTATAATTTTAGTAGAAATTGGTTTCTTTTATAATTTATACAGATAAGGTTAGAAAACTGGATTTTTTTATTATCACTTTTCAGTAACTGGAATGATGTTGAAGACACTTCTAGAATCCATTCATCAACGTTCAGATTCAAATATTAAAAGATTTTTGCAAGAATTTATTGAATATTTGCCAGGCCCAATGACTCCACAAAAATTTACAAAACTTGATTGTTACCCAAACTATTCTCAAGTTATCAAAGTATACAGCCAAGTACTTGAAATAATTTTAGAACAAACAAATTTTATTGATTATATCGATTTAATTACACCAATATTTGCCCCTGACGGCGGTACTTTAGAAATGCTTGACATATCACTACACATTTTATTGAACTATGTCACTTCAAATGCATTATCTCTTAGAACTGATTATGCCATTGAATTAATGAGCTTAATATTAACAAGCGATCTAATAAAATCATCATTGATGACTGAAACTTTAAATTCTAACCATAATCGTTTCACGGTAGTTATTGAATTTGTATTGTCATTACCACATAGATTAGCTAACAAAGTTGGGAAGAATATACCTAAATTGTTTACGCCTGTAGAGTTTTCTAATAGAATAATGTATCATATATTGTTTGTCATCGACCAATTGAGCCAATTTTATACTTTGGAAAACATGAAACCTAATACAAAGCCACTTTCAATAGTGTTAGGCAAAACTATTGCTTCTTATATTCAAAATGATTTTTCTACTTCTTTGAAAATTTTAGAATGTTGGTGTTTAAATGATAAGTATGCAGTTGTTATAAGAAGTATTCTTACAGAAGTTGACCGACGAGCAATTGATAGACTTGGTTATTTGTTTTGTCGTAAATTATCAACATCTGATTCGTTACATAATCTTATTGCAAATGCAGTATGTGATGTACCCAACTGGAATTACACTTTGTGCAAAAAAATGATATTTCTTAATTATCATGAAGATGACAATATAGCATTAAATCTAATGAATTACTTATACTTGGTTCAAAAAAATTCTAATTCTAATATATTAAGTACCATAATCTTAGAACTTGTTCAAATTTGGGGAGATAAAAGTGCTTTGATTCATACACCTTTTGAACAACATTACTACTTATCAAAACTTATTATTATTGGTTCAGCATGTCTATCAAATTTAGCATTGGATGACGAGTTTAAAAGAGATGTTGAGATTAAACTCTTTGAAGGTGTTCCAATTCATCTGGAGAGTTCAGAAGAAAAAGTTCGAACCATAGGAATGATAGTAGCAGAGATTATTATTGGTATTGTAAAGCGCGATGAAAAAGAAGGAGCACCTACTTTAAATTTTGAGTACGAAAAATTACAGGATGAATCTAAATTGATAGTAAAATCATTGAACGAATTAAAAAGTTTTAAGAACCGTAATGAATTAAAATTTAATGATGCGTTCAAAATGTTAAGTAACTTTTTTGAAGATACTGATATTATCAAAACTGGATGTACCAATGCACTAACTACATTTCATAATAAGGTAGTGAAGAACACAGAAAATACAATTGAAAACATTTTGGACAGCGATGATGATGAATTTGAGCCTTATGATTTATCTAATGATGTTGAAATGGATGTAAAAAATAGACCTAAGTATATACGCGATCTTATTGATGGTTTCAATGAACAAAAAGATTGCAAGGTGTGGCTTGGCTGTTTAGAAGCATCCGAAAGTCTTATTAAATCACAGTTGCCCAATGATGATGTTTCATTCGCCATTGAGCTATTGACATTATTAATCGGCATGGATCAACAATTTTACATGGAGAATTTCGAGAGCCTAAGATATCAATCTGCTATCGCTGTAGTTACTGTTTTTCCTTATGATTGTGCCAAACACCTTTGTCACCTTTTTTATGAATCTATTGGAAAATATGCAGTTTCTCATCGCATTTTAATACTAAATGTATTAACTGGTTCTGCTAAAGAATTATCAGGTTTTCAAAAGGTTGAAGAGAAACAAGAAGAACCAATTGCAGAAGTGAATACTTCGAAGTATTGGGAAGATGTTATCAAAAAAAGAGTTCTGCTAAAGACCAGAATAATTTCCAATCCTAGAAAACCTATAAAATCTCAAAGTAATCGTTTTGTATCTGTAGCTGATGCGTTTTTCTTCCCTCTCATTCGTGGGAATTTAATCGAACCAATTGTTTCCCAACAAATTGACAATACTAAACAGTTAGACATTCTTGGAGTACATCTATTAAATTCGCTATCAGTTATACTATGCTGTGCGATTAATTCTATGCATGCAACCCGTATGGGTGTAGAGCTTTTAGAATGGACATGGTCGTTAAGATTTCATAAAGATGTAAAAATAAGAATTGCCGTTATGGGCTGCCTAGCAGCTGTTTTGTTGTCTGTGCCTAAATCTAGATTAGTTGACTTGGGAAGCTCATTAATTGAATTTGTAATGTGGTTGGAAAATGTTGTGACATCTGAAGGAGTAATAAATAAAGTTGATAATGAAGTAAATCAAGAAGCAAGGAAATTTGCAGTTCAAGTTCTATTACTTTATAGAAATGTTGTTGGTGATCAAAATATGTTTTCAGAATGATAATAATATTTCAATTCCATAAAAATGATGTGCATTCTTATTAAAGAAAAAATATTATGTTTGTTTTTAATTTAATATGAATTAAAATTGATAATTTCTTTTGTATCTCATTTTGCATTATTTATTTATATATTCCTTTGTATTATTTTGTGTATAAACAAGACCTTTACAATTTCCAGGGTCTTCCTTGCCATTGAATCAAATGATTCAACCGGTAACATTTGCTCAGAATAGTAACACAGAAAATCAATCTTCTGGAAGCTTAAATAAATTACAGGTAATTAAAAAAAAGTATTAAATTAACTTATAAAATCGAGAGATGGTCTATTAAAAAATCAATTTTGAAAATAATGACTCAACTATCTGTGTCATTTTTATGATAAAATAATCAAACATTGCTAAATGCAATTCTATGCATATTGGTTTTATTGAAGTTCATTTAAGAATAATGAACAAAATATTTTTCCTAGATTTTAAAGTTTGGGTAAAGTAAATTAATCATGTATTTCATGACAATTTTTATTTTGTAGCTGGGCAGCACATGGAGTGGAGTAAAGGGCCTAAATATAGACTTGGATAATTTATTATCACCCGGCAGTAAATCGCCAAATTCAATTTCAATGTCTATGAACCAAATGGCTAATAACAACAATAGTCTTGGTAAATACAACTAGCATGCTTTCACCTACATTTGATGAAATACTATTCAGTTAAAATGTTGAGTTAAATTTATGTCAAAATTAATTACATTCTAAATATCTATTAATCATAAACAAATTATTATTTTGAAACCACTAAAATTTCTTAAATATTTCATCAATTAATGTTGGCAAATAATTATCAGTCATTATTTTGATTAATATATTATTTGTTTAATTTATTATTTATTTTAGGTGGAAAACAGAATGCGTTTTTTGATTCTAACGATGTACTAATGCCTACTCAACAAGCATTCTCTGCTAGCTTCAAGTGATATTTATTAAACTAAACTTAAGTTACAATATCATTCTTAATTGTGCAAGAAATGGTTTCAAAACTTGTGGGAAAGTGTTTCCTATTTATATATTTTTTTCTTTAAAGGTTGTGGGGCTCTTATTAACCAAACTAAGATCATAGTATAGTGATGTAATTATATCACCAAAAAATAATAACCATATTACAATGAATGAAAAATGATCTATATCTACCAAATTATGATTGTGGTTCATTTCTACAAGTCTGGAAAGTTGTTACAACATTTTAAATGATCCTTTTATACTTCTTTGTGTAAAAATATATTTTAATAAGCTCAAATATGAATATTAATATAATCTTCATTTATGTGTTTAATTTAAAATACTAAATGTTCATATGTTTTCAATGTTTTTAATTTTTATTCGCAGATATAAATTTATTGGAGTTTAAAATACGGGTTCTTCGTAATGTATGTGTTAATTTTCATGTTTAATAATAATTGAAGTAAAGTTTGGTTTTAATGTACATAATGATATTAAAAAATGAAAATTTCATCATTAACATCAGATAATATTTTAATAACATATCACATCAACATGTACTTGTCAATGGTCATATCATTTGTTTGTTTGTTTGTTTTTTCCTAAGCCAAATCTGTACCTGATTTAATGATGAACATTTTAATTTGAGTTTGGTGCTTATATTTTGGGATAAGTCAACCTTATAAATGTTTCTTGCATGGCTCAAATGAACCATATCCAACAGTATTTCTTTTTCTAACCACAATATTATTTGTTGCAATTTGTTAATTTTTGGATTATTTGATTACAATTAATTTTAAATACCTATATACTATTATTTACAATTTTATTAAGTTTATGTACCTAATCTATGTTTTATTTTAGTTATTTGTTAATTTTAATTTGATTCCAATATTATTTCCTTTCAGATTTTAATTAGAATATTAATATTTACCTATTGTGTTATTAATAAAAATATTTTGTTGATTACAATGTAGTTTTAACTTGCACTGACTTGTACACTTTACTATATGTTTCCAATTTTCTTGTTTAATTTATCAGGTATTAGGTACCTGTTTTGGTATACATCTCTGACGAATGAATAAAATACAATATCTTCTGTAGAAAGTTACTCTTCCTGGAGTCTAGTTTCAAAAAAAAAGTTAGTTGCTCAACATATTTTACTTTTATAGCTAGAGACCAGAATTGTATGAATTTTCATATTTATACTGATTACTGAGTGTATGCACAACCATAAAAGTTCATTATGTGGGCGTTTCAAATCCAAGCTGATTTCATAGACAAAATGTTATTTTGCATATTGATGTATATTTGAGGAGTTAAGGGGCACATGTTGTTATTAAAGCATAATATAGTTTGTATATTTTAATATTTTATACACTTTTAATAAAAAAATATCTTTTTAATCTTTTCTCGTTGACTCCAGTTATTGGGTTTTTGCAAATAGATGATTTTACCATAGACGTAACTACTATAGAGTACTTTAGGGGTGGGCTTAGAGTCCTGACATTTTTTTATAGCAGTATACCTAATGTATTGGGAGTTGGGACAGTAATCCTCACAAAATATTTTTTTGTGTCAATTTATATTAAACATAATAAGCCTAAACCTAGGTATTTTAGATTCTGAGTGAAACAATGAACGTATTGATTTTACAATGTGTGTTTTTATTTTTTTTGTGTCTGTGTACACGATAAGTAGTCGAAATAATGCTTCGATTTTCGACTTCAGTATCTTGTTCGATTGGAAAGTGAATATCGTTGGTGCATTGGGGAGGTCAAAATTTAAAATTCCCAGTACTTTTCAAAAACGCCAAGAAAAACAAAAGAAAAATTAAGGAAAAACGGGAATTTTTACGCAAAATCGATTTTTCAGAAAATTGAATTTGGTTTTTGGTGTAACTTTAAAACAAATGACCGTAGATACATGAAATTTTCACTGGTTGTTTATATTTGCATTTTCTATACACGATAGCATTTTCAAAATATTTTGATTTATTTTGAACTGTTTAGGGACATTTTCATTTTTCATTTTTTTTAGTTTTTTTTCTAGAAATATCAATACAATTTTATTTGTTGGTTAAAAAAACTTGAAAATTTAATAGAAGGCTCCTAGTATATTGTTTCAAAGGCAGATGGAAAATATTAAAAATCGTTAGTCACAGTTTTTTTTTATAAGCATTTGAAGTTCAAGAATTGACAAAATATGGAAAAATCACGAAAATTAGCAAATTATTTTGAGTTAAGAATTCGTAAAAATTTTTCTTTTTAAATCTAAGATTTGAAAATGTAATACAAGATTACTCATAAGTTTGTCTACATTTATCAATAAAAAAATCTCTACCGGACAGTCAAATTAAATTTTTATGAGCGTTTGAAATTAAAATTTTTACAACAATGGATGTTCACTCGATTTCTCATGTAGCGATTTCCTTATTTTGTTGTTATTCATAAACGAATAACTATAGATACATGAAAATTTCACTGAATGTTTATATTAGCATTTCCTATACACCATACAATTTTGAAAATATTTTGACTCATTTAGAGCTGTTTACGGATATTTTCATTTTTCAATTTTTTTAGTTTTTTTTTCTATGAATATCAATAAAGTTTTATCTGTTGGGCCAAAAAGTGTAAAAATTTAATACAACGCTCCTGATATATTGTTACAATATCAGTTGCAAAATATTAAAAATACATAGGCACAATTTTTTTTTATGAGCATTTAAACATCGAATTTTGACAGAATTTTTCAAAATCTCGAAAATTATTAATCATCGTAATTAATAAATTATAAAATGTTCAGTTTTTATAGCTAAGGATTGCAAATTCAACACAAAGGTTCTCGTAAATAGTTCATACTGTAACCAAAAAATCTAAAAATTATATGAACACAGTTTATTTTTATAGTCATTTTATGTTCAAATTTGGACGAAATTACATATTAAAAAACCTAGTTATTTTGTTGTGATTATATAATATTATTCGTGGGTACCTACTTGAAACTTCTAAAGTGTACTATTATATATCTATGATAGTATCAGGGTTTGTTATTGATGTTGATGTATAACGTGTTATAAGTACCTAATGGATATTGTGATAATGTGATATGATTTATTTGGAATTTATTATAGGTCAATTTTTTTTTTTATACCATAGATATGTATATAATTTGTCTTAAACCTAGACTGACATACCGTCTTCGCTCAGAATCGTTTTTCTTATACAATGATATTGTATCGTTGAATTCAAATTTAATAGCATCCATTATACAGTGACCCACTTGTAACCTACTGTACAGCTGAGCGACATCCACTTACCCACCTTTTTTTAATTGTATAGCTAAAATACCTATATATTATTATAACCTAACCAGAGTTCTTAAGGTCTCAATGTTAGTTGGTATTAGAGGTGTATAGTGCCGACGCTCTTTTCTATTACCTAACTAAAATATCAACCTTCACTTTGGGACACTAACAAGCGAGTTATGAGCAGGGGCGTCATTTGGGGGGGGGGGGTCAGGGTGTGCGTATCAGGGTAATTGTAAAATGGTTCCAATTGGCCTGCGCCCCGCTGAAGCCTAAAATAATGCACGAGCCACGAATGCACAATTATTAATATGATTAAAATTAAATTGTATTTAACTTAATGAAAGATTTTCAGAACCAACCAATAACTTGTTTAAGTTATTTGAAATGTTTGACTTTTCTAGTCCCAATTTTTTTAATCCCGATAGTCTTTATTTAAAATTATTAATAAACCATTATAGTTATATTAACTTTAATGAAATTCAAATTTCTTCTGAGTTTCCATCAGTAAAAGCACTATTTAATGAGAAACATGATGTTGATTTGGACACCATAGCAATATGCCTAGAAGATTTTCCTATCGCTTTTGTTGAAACTTTAAAAATTATTTCATTGGTAAAAACTTTACCAATATTACAAAGGCATCAAATAAAAGGTTTTTTACATTACTTAAAAGAGTTAAGTCATATTTACGCATTACCATGGGTGATGAAAGGCTAAGTGATTGGATGGTACTTAATGTTGAAAAAAAAGAAGTTCACAATATAAATTTAGAAGAAGCTGTAGATAAATTCACTAAACTAAAAAATCGACGATATCCGCTCATTTAAATTTAAAATATTTTTTTTCTAGCGCTTTGCTTTTTCCAAAATTATAATAATTATGAAAATAAACGACAATTCATTAAGTCCTTTGTTATTTGCTGCTGCATTAATTCTTCTAGCTTTTTATGCATCAATTGTTATTGGTTTTCACGGTTAAGGTAATTCATTATTTATTATATTTTAGTTTCTTAATTGATATTTACTATTTATTTTGATGCAATGATTCCGAATTGATTCGGTCCATACTCCATAATGCATGGAAATAATTGAAAACAGGATAATGTACATATATACGTATGTTTATCTATTTTTATACTGAAATTTCAAAATGGCCTGCTTGAAACCTCGCACACCCGAAAAAAACCTGAAATGACGCCCCTGGTTATGAGTGTTTTAAAATTGTCAATTGTTTATACATCTTAAAATACTTAAAACTTGCTTTAAAAATAAAATATAATAAAACTCCTATGAGATCTAGAATCTAGTCAATCTCAACTTTTTTCGAAAAAATATAAGGCTTGTAGATCACTGTCCTATAGATAATAATCTTACCTTTAAATGTTGTAATTAAATAATTTCAGTTTTACAATATGGTTTGGTAAAACATTTGGTATACCTATAACTGAAAATATTTTTGTGTAGACGAAATTTGGTGAACAATCAGTGTGTAATCTCCGTATAGTGTTACATGGTAAATCGGAGAGCTCTAAGTGGGGCGTTCCCGCTTAAACAATTTTTTTTACCGTGAAAAAACAGGCTGTAAACATAAAAATTTATACTTCTATTTTCAAACCCACTCCTGTGGTTTGTATGATTAAAAATGCATATATACCTATATTACACT